CACTAAAAAATGCAACATTTTAACTCGGTTTTTGGTAGATTTTTACGTGACTAACATAAGGCTACTGTGGAAGTGCCCATTTCGGTTACAACGACATTCGTTTATAACGACACTATTTTTAGGTCCCTTTGATGACGTTATAACCAAGTTCTACTGTATTTAATTATTTCACTGAATTGTCTGAAGAAAGTTAATGAACGGAGGCACTAGACAGTGGTTATCTAGACCTGCACAGGTTATACAACAGTGTGTGTGAGGAAACTGTGAATGTTGAAGTGGGAAAGTTGTGGAAAGAAACGGTTATAGCATGATGTTGTACAGAATTTACTTGGAGAATGTGGGGAAGATCTCCAGGCCAAGAATCGAAACCGAGGCTTTCCGATTGGAAGCAGAAGTTGTAACCCGGCGCCTTAACTTTCAGTGGCCTACCGCTTGTGGTTGTGCGTGGGATTTCCTGTTTATCCTCCAGACAGGCCGTCAGCTGTTCTAGAGTGAATTCTCCCTTCGACCTTATCAACAAGAGCGACCCTGCCCCGAGTCGAGGCTCCAGCTGACAGTGCTGTCGGGTCCAATGAGGTCTGTCGTCACGTTTCGGAAGCAGCGTCCTGACAGCGCATCCCATATCTAAACTACTGTAATTTCGCTAACAACTTGTCATTGTGAGGTGTCGTTAAACTATATTTCTCTGTCATTTATCTTAAAAGGTAAGATCCTTCAGTCCTCCATCTTTTTATATTATTATAATATAAGGAAATATTGCATCTGAAATGAACAAATTATACGAGCAGGGAAGAACGTTTCTGAGACTAAACTTCCTTCTTTGTCTGTACCTGGAGTCCCAGTTTTCTAGAAGGAATTACATTCAACGTTCAGAAGTAGGACTTCAGACTGTACTTAATTCTTAAATATTTATTTTTAAAATAAGTCCTTTGTAAATCTGCATATCAACTTGGGATTGATGGACATTTTTGCATATGTAACTATGTTATTATACTGCTGCATAGGTATTAACCTATTTAAGAGAAAGAATGAAATCTTAAGTCTAACTTGGCCGCGCCATAGCTCAAGCGGTTAGTCGCTGGCTTCCAATCGCGGCGGACCGGGTTCGATCCCGGGTCTGGTCAAGTGGGATTTGTGGTGGACAAAGTGGCACTGGGCAGGTTTTCTCCGAGTATTTCGGTTTTCCCTGCCAATCTTCATTCCACCAATTGCTCCACGATCACCCTCACCTATCATCTGGGGCTGGTACAAGGGACTTAGTCCTACCCCACTAGCAATAAAAAAATCTTAAGTCTAACTTCTTTTTATTCCTGCTTTATTAAGTACAGACGGTGCCCAAAAATTCTACAAAGAAAAATTACTTATGATGTTATGTTATAAGATTTGAAGTTCTCACGGCAATGATTATGAAGATTTCACTGTCTTGGGATATAAAGCCGTGTAGTGCATCTGTCTTCTGCAGTACAGTTCATTGTAGTCCTTGTGTCTTCGGGAATATAACGCCGCATATGTTGCATATTATGCCGAAAGCTTTGAGTGATGGTCATTTATTCAGGATAAATGTTTTTGAGTTTCGTCTAAATTTAAGTTCATATTGGACCCATACAACAAAAAGCTAAAGTCACTGGACAAATTTTAGTTGTAAAAATGTCATTAGAATCCGTTTTGCAGTTTCGGGGTTGTAGGTCTAACATACAGAAAATAATAATGTTGGACTGACATGTCTTTTCTTTATGTGTACTAAATGCGTGTTATGTAGTTAGTTAGTTAGTTATTTAGAGAGGGTGGGTTTCCCCATACACCGCGACCAGTTTGATCTATTGTGCTTCCCTCTATGATATTCTACCAGTCTCTATACCCTACCGATAAATGGTGCGTACCATCAGTCCCGCCGAGCAAGCGAGTTCGGCCACTTGCTTAGCGGTATCTATAATGCTCCCCCCATCTATCAGAGGTCTTAGAGACTATTGTTGGGCGGGAAACGTCCTGGAATTTGGCTCAGTGATCCCCTTTGGGGATATGAGGTTCTTTTACGTGCCGTAAAGTTACGACACGGGACACACAGCTTAACGTCCCTCCTGGAGGACTTGTTCCCTGAATTTTTCCGCCTTTAAAAATTCGACGACCTCCGCCGGGTATTTGAACCCGCGTACCACGGGTCATGAGGTGGGAACGTTACCTGTAGTTTACGGAGGCCGCTTTGCGTGTTATGTAAGTCAGAAAGCTCTTGTGCTGTCGCCCCTACCACTCTTCCTCAGACATAATTTTATATTTTTAATAGATTAAAGACTATAAATTAATGTCATATAATATGTGAAATGATTCGTGTAAATTATGTGACACACAAAATAAGGCAAAATATTTGCTGGTAAAAATTTTGTAACACATGACTTAAGATGATCAAGTGTAGAAATTATATGACAGACGTAAGACAGCAGCCTGGATACAGAAGCCCAAAAACAGTCTCCTTTCAGTTATTCCTGTCATTGCAAAAGACGCACAGTTTCCATATATTCAAAAACATTGATTAACTATTATTATAATATGATTCTTCCGCATTAACGTGACTGGGCAAGAACATGCCCATATACATAATGTTGCCTGTATTTATCGCTGTTATACTTCACTTTAGGAGTAGGGTAGCGTAGTCGGTATAGCGATTGGCTACGGGCTGGACGACTGAGGGGTCGGAGTTCGAGTCCCGGTAGGGTCAAGAATTTTCTCTTCTCCAAATGGTCCAGACCGGCTCTGGGCTCCACCCAACCTCCTATCAAATGGGTACCGGGGGTAAAGCGGCCGTGGCGTGAAGCTAACCACTCATCTCAAACTAGTGCCGTGGTAAAGAAAATGTAGATCTATACATCCACCCCTCCATTCCTCCATACGCCTTCATGACGTGCTTAATTCGTCGAGCAAAGGTACAACTTTACTTTTTGTACTTCACTTTAGCACGAAAGTGTTGTTCCATGCTGTAGTGGTTGCTAACTCTGTCACACTTCCTTCGCCCCAGAAACCCTACCCACCTGTGTGATATCCGCCCTCGTGACCTATAACCTTTGATGCTGCTATGGATATAGTTGTTGCGTTTAGATGATGGAAGCGATCTTTGTGGTTGTTTACCCTTTGAACCCAAGAGGAAAACGATTGTTCACTTTAAAGCACAGAAATGAGAATGGAATTTTGTGATGATCACTGTGAAAGCCACTGATAACAGAACAGCGAGCTTCATCCGTTAGCGCACGCACGCACATGCATTCACATCTTCTTGTAATTTTATGAAAGAAGTAAATTCCCTATTCTATTCTCGCCGAAAGGATACCGGAATTGAGTTGATAAGCATGGGTTCTTCTTTTGCATGACAATGCTCGACCTCGTAGTGCTACTGCAACCGTGAATTTCTTTACCCATATCAACCATACGTACTTATATGCCCAGATGTCTGCCTGCTGTCATGTCTATCTTCAGCGTATCGTATTGGCTTTCGATTTGGTCCAGTGTACTTCCTGTGTACTGGAAGCCATCTGATGATGAAAGGTGTTGTTCCCTTGCTTAATTAAATAAGCACTATGCTAGGAAGCCATGAGGGAGTGGAGGTACAGCTCCTCCATACTTAACCTCTGTACCAGATGGAAGCGAGTGGTCAGCTTCGCCCCCTGCACCGTGGTGAAAGAACTCTCTGTACCCATTGGATGTGATACTCGGTGGGCCTCAGAGCTGGTCTAGACGCTGTAGGCTAAGAATATGCCAGCAATCATACCCCCAGGCAGCGCTTGCGCTCACAGCGAACGCTGACCTCGGAGAAATCATTGATATATCACAATGTATACTAAGGCTAATTATATAGTTCTTTTCCTTTTGTAATATCATGTTTCGGGGGAAATTTATTTCAATTGTTTTGACAGTAAAGAAAAGGGTAGAAAGGAGGGAACAGGAATTACGATAGGATGAGCAATTAAAATGAATGAGAGAGAAATACGAGAGAAAAGAGATGATGAAATTAAGGTACGGAGGTTTGTAAGAGACTTCCCATTAAATTTTCAGCGCGCATTCTTCTTCTTCCTAGCTCTGCAGCGCGGTGTCTCTTGGGTCCTTTACAGTAGCTTTTTGTAAGTCGCTTTGCAGTACCTCCCACAGCCAATTATTGATTTTCAATGCTTTTAGGTCTATTCTAAGCTACTAAGACGCCTCAGTTTTGGTCATCCTTGGCCTCGTCTTCCTTTCGTCTTATAAAATGTTGTTATTTTTGCGGATTCACCGTCATCCATTCTGTCTAGATTCCTGACTCATCTCGCTCATCCCGTCTTAATAACTTTTAACGTTGGAGTTTCCGTCAGACAGTTTTTGGCAGAAGCTACACAATGCTTGTTTCATCACAGTTTCGGATATTACACTAGTTATTTTATAACTTACAGACACGAGCTGACTTCTTTTCATTGCCGCAGGAAAAAAAACATTGAAGAAAGCAGTCTTCTGGGATTTGGCACCGTGTATATGTGTGTTAACCGACGTTTCGGAGGAACGTATCGCCTCCATCTTCAGGGTAGGAGAAAAAATATAAGAAACCCGCAAGCGAAGAGACCGTGAGAACCGGTAAAAGCTTTTACCGGTTCTCACGGTCTCTTCGCCTGCGGGTTTCTTAAATTTTTTCTTCTACCCTGAAGATGGAGGCGATACGTTCCTCCGAAACGTCGGTTAACACACATATACACGGTGCCAAATCCCAGAAGACTGCTTTCTTCATAGTCACCGCCGTGAAAGCCTCAAATCTTACAAAAAAACATTGTCTCAACAAAGATATCCAGATTACGGAACTGAAATGTTAATATTAGCTAAATTTAATTTGTATGATCTGATATGATGAATTTTGAAGAGAAACCATCACAAGTACTGCCCTTAATGAGAATACTTAATAAGTGTATATGGTAATAAAATTAAGAACAGCAACTTATAACATTTTGCATAAAATTAGAAACACATTAAAATCAAGAATTTTGTGTTACAAATGTTAGCTGGCGAAATGCAGTGCGAAGATACGTGTTAAAGGTAAGTACGAATTATATTACTTATTCGTCTATCTCCGGTATTGCAAAGATTATTATTAATATCCACAATATTCACATGTCTCCATGTTAAGTGTATTCCTTGTCATTACGCAATGGTACTCCTCGTGTCACGGTTGGAGGAGGGGACATTTGGATTCGGAAGGTAGCTGTGAATACCTTTAATTAAGATCCTGGAAACTGGGTTATTTGGTTCACAATAGGCATCAGTGACATCTTTTGAACACGATAAAAAACAATCGGATTCCACAGAATCAGGCAAGGTCTAGAAAGGCAGGGAACTACTGGCTTCTCGTGACGAACTCTCCTCTACGAAGTTAACAAAGTGCAGGTAGGATAGTGCTCTTCTGAATTCTAATTGACTCAAGGGTTTCTTAAAGGTAATTTGTTATGTATCGATAGCGTTAATGTATTTACCTTGCCGTTATTCTCCAAAGGGTGTGCCTTGCAAACTGAAATCATCGGTATAACTTTCGGACAATTCGTACTGTTACAATAGTGGTACTTTGAAGTTCGGCCTGTTCCTAAATGAACAGTAGACTGGTAGAAGTGTTCTACTCACCATTTCCTTTTCTTTCTCTTCATTGGAGGATACTACAAATGTAAGTTATGATGTCCTTTTTCATTTTTTGTTTTATGAGTCGGGATAGATGAGTCAGTATAGCGACGGGCTACGAGCCTACGGGCTGGACGGCCCGGGTTGAATTCCCGGTAGTGCAGAATTTTTCTCTTCTCCACACCCTTCAGACCGACTCTGAGGCCCACCCAGTCTCCCATCGAATGGGTGCCGGGGGCTCTTTCACAAGAAATAGAGCGGCAAGGATGTGAAGCTGACCACTCGCCTCCATCTAGTGCCGAGGTCAGGAATGGTGGAGCTATACCTCCATTCCCCCATGTATCTTCCTAGCATAATGTTTAACTAATTAAGCATAAGGGAAACTTCACTTTTTTTTCCTTTTTTTTAATTTGATTATTTGTGATGTACATTATTGGCGAAAAGTCAAAATTAAATATGGTACTATTTATCGGTATCAAGGACTTCGATGTTTAAAAGTTTGTGATGATGGTAGCTGCTTGTTCTGGTTCTTTGGTTTATTGTCTAATGGCGATGAACACACATAGAGCATTCTGGAAAGAAGCAGTCAACTTGATGCGTGAAAAACTAAAGTTAGAATACTTGTATTGAAATAGGTTTCAAAACCTTGTGTCGCCTGTGAAAATTTGTTCAAAGTAGATTAATTATAACACTTATCTGTTTCTTAGATTATTTTGTCACTTTTCCAACTGCAGCAATTAAATGGTAACGAGTGGGAGAGTAATTTTTTTGGGAGGCCGAGAAAAAACTGCGCGTTACTTATCAAAACAGCTTGTCTCCAGACAGATTATCGAACCTGCAACTTCCTGATTACGACGCAGGGATTGTATTCAATCGTCTTACACTGTGATACGATTGGAGTTCGCGACCCATTTTGCGGGCAAACATAAATAACACGCCTAGTTCTATGTGAGAACACAAAATGATATATTTTAAAGTTTAATGCAGCGAAATCTAACTAATTGACTCCTCCTCCCCCTTCTTGAGGAGCAAACAGTCGCTCAGCCACTCAAGAAATACCCAGAATTTTGTCGAACTCGAAGATTCATTACCGTGTTCACAAGAGCCCAGGTGTAGCCCCATTTTAGGAAAAAAGAAGTCTGATCATAAATTATAAAAGGTCATCAACTCCGTCCAGTGTGACTGATCGGTGGTAAGAAATATGATTGATATGGTAATTAGGCAAACAGCCGCGCCCACCCTGTTAGAGATTGTTCCAATTCATGTTTTACTGAAGTGCTCCTTGATTTAAAGCGAGAGCATGTAGGAAACTTGGCTTGGACTAAATCTGACGAAACAGAACGGATACTACCAGCTGCCTAAAAACTAATATCATCCTCAGATCTGCAGTAATTTGTGGCGTATATTTCGTCAATTGGAATATTCTGACTTTGTCAACGGAACTGTTTGCTTCCATGATTGTGAAGAAGTGAATGTCCTCTGGGTGTCGAGATAGGTAACCTAGTGGTTAACAGGTTAATCTACGCGTACATAATCATAATCATCATTGGCAAAATAGCCCCAATTGACCTATAGCGTTCCTTGGAAAATTCTGCCAGATTTCATCCGATATTCATCTCTTTGTATTTCGCAGTAGTAATTCTTTTACAGAGTAAGATCCTCAGCCTTGCGCCCAACCCCAAACCTGGAGATCGAGGTCCCTGTTATTATGTCCCCCAGTGACAGGGTGGCCCAATTTTATCCCCAGGCACCGGGTTCCATTTTCGTCGCCTTCTGCGACTCGCATGGCTAAGGTGGAAATATTCAAACCCGCCTCCACACGCGGAACTCATGCAGTATACTTGTAATGAATTTGAGACTTATTTTGACACGACTTAATCCTGTATAAGTAGCACGAGAAGAGAATAAATGTCAGACTGCATATCTCACAGTTCGGTCTGTGTCATTAAGAATAAGAATGGCTATATGCCTAAAATACAGGTTTCCGAGAAAGATCTAAAAAAGTTATTTGTATATTTTGCGACCTTCATAAATCCCGATACTGTTTCGTTGAATATAGACCTGATTGTTATTGGCAAGAATACGACGTAATTATGCTCAACTAGTCTACTGCATCTTTTCTACTATTTTTAAACTCTGCAATCGGATATTATCGTAAATGTCAGAATTAATCACCTGGAAATTATTGCCAAATTTAATTAAAAGTTTGTATTTTATTTTCGCTATTCCTAAATTTCCACGCCCTGTGACTGAAGCAACTTATGTAATTTATAAGCACCACCACGTCAAAATGTTACTTAAGACTGAATGCTGTGAAAAAGTATTTTAGATTGAGAATCACTGACACAAAGAGAGACAGAATCACATACTCCCACACCTTTATTGCCTATTCCTCATCGTTTGGTGTATATTTTCACAAAAATTAAGAATAAAAAAGTAATATAGATAGAATCTTGCATCCTACTGCAGGAACTTTCTTGATATTGTCTATTATTAATATTGTGACATGTAGAACCATTGCTAGGTAACGGACCAATAAACACGCATTCTTGACAGCAGAAGACGTATTTTCTATGTTGTTCGCATATATACACTACTAGGTAACGTGTCAATATACATGCATCTTGACTAAAGAAGAAAGAATTTTCCGTGGGGTCCGTGCCGAAGAGTAATCTTGAAGACATTTAACGCTACAGCCAGTCAGTTCAGTTAAGGGTTCAGCTGTGTTGTGTTAACCAGTGGACAACGGAAGCGAAGATTTGTTACAAAAAAACGTCTAGTGAAGATGTGGCCGAGGACTAGCCGTTCTGGACAGTCGTTACCAAGTAAAGACTAGTGAAATTATATTGAGAAAACTTAGTGTGGAAATCAACTTGTAGTTACGACTTGGCTGTAGTCATTATACACGTGATAATATAGAGGTTACAAACTGCACGAAGTTTCGCAAGTTGGCACTGTCTGTCAGCTTTCGAAATACGGTAAATTCCTTTATACGTATGTTTTCTTATATTTTGACAGTGAAAAATATTAAAGGGAAACCCCTACATCAGGATGTTAGACCATGACGCAGTCCTTCTGAGAGTCGTTAGAGCCCTGCATGCTCATGCATCAGGGAGGAATTAGTTGTGGCTTCTTTTGAGGTGCTAAGAATTTTCCTGGATGAATTGAGGAAAAACACTGAGTTTTCCTTCAGGATTTCTGTCTTACAGCCTCCCAAGTACAAAGAGTACTGACCATTCAGCGACGATTTTCGATGACACGGGATTCAAATGTCTATGTTTCATGACGTGAGAATGGGTAGTAACATGTACGGTTACGGGTTCTGATTAGTGAAGGGACAGAAGCTTAGTTCTCATCGTGGGAGAGTGTTTTGGAACCCCCAGTCTTACCTGATGAGGGGTGATACACTCGAAACAGCTGCGAACGCAATTTGAAATAGCCGAGCTACTTACACACTGCCAGCCTGTCGCTTCGTGGGCCTCGCATGATCCCAACTGAGTGGGACAAGTGACTTCACACAGCGTAAGGATTCAGACCCTGAAAGAATAAAGTGGTATGGGAAATAGGTTTGAGAACTGAAAAGTAACAAACTGAGAAAACTGAGTAATCAAACTAAATCCATAGAGCACGTTGCCTGTTGAGAAGCTAATAGTCGTTCAGATACTCAAGACATCTCTGACATTAGATGAAACACAAAGGTTTCTTACCACGGTCACAAGGGTATGCCACTGGGGACCTTGTCCTAAGCAAGATGAAACCATGAAGAATGCCGTTTTCTGGGATGTGGCGCCGTGTAGATCTTGTGTAAGCCGACGTTTCAGAAGAATATATCGCCCCCATCTTCAGGGTATATCTGCAGCCACCTTCTCACGCTGTTTCCTCGTTCGAGGAGTTTTCTACCCTGAAGATGGAGGCTATATGTTTCTGCGAAACGTCGATTCACAAGATCTACACGGCGCCATATCCCAGAAGATGGAATTCTTCATAGTCACAGCTGTGAAAACCTCAGCTCTTACAAGACGAAATCAGTTCACAACCTGAAAACTCCTACTTGTTGAGTTCTGTTCGAATATTATCCTCCCGTTTAATTTTAGTTCTCCAAATCTGTCTCATTACAGGTTTCCGGTAGAAGTGGTTATACTTTTTCCATCTCTCCCGTACTTGTTGCATGCCTACACATCTCGTCGTTTTTTATTTAATAATATATCGGTGAAAATTACACGTATCTTCACTATGAAAAGCCTCGTAACATAAATTTTCATTTAATATCGTTAGGATGATTAACTCAAGGAAATGGGCGGAACATGAAGGAAATGAGAAATATATGTAAAATTTAGTAGGGAAACTAAAGTAGTAAGACCACTCAGGAGACCTAGACATAAATAGTAGGATATCATGCATTTTATTTTATGAATACATGTAAAGTT